GAGCGCGTCTCTCTTCCCCAGCAGCTCCCGGAGGGACGGGGCTGTGCTGGGGACATGGGTGGGTCCTGGGCAGGGGCGAGAGGGGCTAACCTAGGCGGCGCATTTCCAGATCGGGCTGTGCTGAACTCCGGCTGCGCGCCGGGGCGGGCTGGCCGCCTTCGCCGCCGAGGGCACCAGCTGCGGCTCCAGCAGGGCGCCGCGAGCAAGGCCCTGGGCAGGACAAGTTGATGGACCAGATGTCCTAGACTCAAGCCGAGACAGTTTTCTGGGAGAAAATACAGCCAGACCCAATTTTCCATTCAGAAGCATATCTCAGCTCCTTGCAAGCTTAATAAACGAGCAGGGCTGCGGGATTGGAGTCAGTGGCTATGAGACTATTTGACACTTGTTTTTTTCTGCTCATTACCTCCCACCACCGTTTCTGAGCGGCGTTGGCTCTATTTTAGCTACTCTTGTATTCCCTTTTCTTTGACCATGAAACTCTTTGTCCCTGAGGGTCTGCCCTCTGCATTGCATCGTTACCCGCTCCTTCCTCAGCAGCACACAGAGCCTTCAATGTGGCAAAAAGGTGAGATTCTTCCACCTGGGCTCCTCGAGGCCGTCATTCCTAGCACCCTAAATTGTTTTGTGTGTATTTTTTAAATGAAGAATGCTAAAAGGAAAGGTTAAAGTATTGAAAAGGTTAAAGTGCACGTCCCTCAGGATTAGGAGATAATGTACACTCTCTCAGTACAAATTCAGTGATTCCTCACATACAGGCTATGCCTTGAATTTACAGACACTCAAGAAGGAAAACTAAGGCTTGCCCCAGGATCAGCACACCTGCTTTTGAGCCATATTTCTGCAGAGCAGTGCAAACTTTAAATTGCATATGAACCACGCCAAGATTCAGGTCTGGAGTGGGGCCTGGATTCTGTATATATAATAAGCTTCCAGAGGGCCCAGGTGTTCCTGTTCCAGGCAGATCACACTGAACAGTGAGGCTGGAACTTTCAATGCCCCTCATATTAGTCTAAGAGTAAAACAAGACTTTCTGTTCTAGTGCTACTTTAATGTTTAGTACACATGTAAAGAAGGTCACACAGCACACGCACACCGGAAAAGTGGCTCGTGGAACTTGTGATTCAATAAGTCACTTCAATGCCTAAGGGCCTGTGCCATCAGAATGCTGCTAAAATAGCAATACAGAGACAGGTGTATTTAATGAGCTTCTTTTTCGGGCATCCTAATCTACAAAGAAAATGTAGGTTTGCGATAGGGAAGGGATTCTGATGTTGTTTTGAAATTGGGAATGTCTCCAACATGAACCAAGTGAGAGAAAGTGGTATGTGGCTGTGGAGAGCCCAGGAAGATGAGGTGATCACATAAGAGGGGAAAAGACGAGACTCGTGTAAGCTTTTTCAGTCACCACACTCACTCAGGAGGTATTTTCAGGGGGCTTAAGTGGAACCAAAAAAAAAAAATTCCAAACAGAATGTTGAGAATAGCCTTTGCATTACTGAGGCCTTCTTCTGAGGGCATACTGTACAAAAATAAAAAATAAATCTGACTAGCTCTAATGAACAGTATTGTGAAATAAGTCGTAGAACCTTATTTATGTAAAGGAAAAAATCACGTATCCAAAAAAATAGGCCACACACAGGTTTACATTAGGCAAAAGGAAAACTTCCATTTATATTTTAATTTTCAAATGATTAGTTGTATGCCAACAAATACATATTACATGTCCTACATAAAATATACTACCATCATATTTAAAAGAAGAAACTACAGGAAAAGCAAGAAATGTTCAGAATATCTCTTATTCCACCAAAAAGAGACTGCAAAATATAATGGAAATTTAAGACATTTCCACTTTTAGTTTCCGCTAACTTTTCATTAGGCAAGCAGTAAGAGCCGGAATTGTTCAAACAGGACAAGAATTCTACCTACCTCTTCGTTCATGCCACCCCTAGTAGAGGTTGTCTAACTCCTAAGTGCCCAAGTAAAACCTCCTTTAAACATTTTTTGCCATTTTTTCATGAAGGTACAAATAAGACTTAAGTCTTTGTTTCCATATGTTTTGCCAACACCCTTTGGGATACCCAGTATGGTGCTGTACCATGAGTATTTGGGGCTGAACTTATGAACATCATCAGGTTAGAAGCAGGTTGTGGGACAGGGTCATCTACAAAAACTGCCATTAGTCAAATTTTTGTCTTTAACAGAAAACTGAGTACTTCTAAGTTACAGAAAGAGGAGAGAAAACAGTAACAAAATTATTGCTTATGTGCTCATTATATTAAATTCACATTATGGCTAGTTTTCTCTTTTTTAAATATTTTTATTGATTTCAGAGAGGAAGGGAAAGGGAGAGATAGAAACATCAATGATGAGAGAGAATCACTGATCAGCTGCCTCCTGCATGCCCTACACTGGGAATCAAACCCGCAACCCAGGCATGTGCCCTGATGGGGAATCGAAATGTGACCTACTGGTTCATAGGGTGATGCTTAACCACTGGGCCACACTGGCTGGGCTACTTTTCTCATTTCTGAAGACATTATACAGTATACTTTCTATGCCCAGTGGAACTTGCAGCAGGCAATTCCCACACAATCTCAACATGATTGGTGGATTGTACTCTCTTTTTTTTTTTTAAAGATAGTTTACATCAAAATTGCCCCTTCTTCAATTGCACTCTTCTGAGATCCTGATTGTATGTTAACAAGATATATTGTTTATACAAAATTAACTTGTGACAAATCCTTTAAATGAAAGATGTCAGCATTTTTCTGCATTACCCACTAATGAGGTAGCCACTCAGATGTTTTGTTATCACATTGGTGTTTTATGTGTTATAAAATCTTAAAATGCACAGGGAAGCATATCTTAGTATGAAATGTCTAAAGCACTGTCAAATGTTATTCTGTCAATTCCACCCAGTGCCAAAAAGAACTCAGGAGACATAGATTGTAAATGTACTTTATTTTGTAAGCAACAATCAAAATATATTTGTTACTGATTTCTTCAAATATTAAATGAGATCTTAACAAAATTTGTCCACTTTGATGTATTCTTATATAACTTTGGAATCTGCAAAGACCCTGACTAAAGAAACAGAAGTAATTGCACAACTGAGACTGAAGGTGTTACAGTGCTGCAAATGATGCCAGATGTCTTACATTTAACCAAATACACCTTCAGAGGTCCCTTGATTTGGAGTATTAGGAACAATAGAGTAATGTACACTGAAAGTATCACTAAAAGCTTTCTGCACTGCTTTATTTAAATACGACAGTATCCAACATAGCTGCTAAACACTGGACAATATTTGAAGTCATAAGTACATCCACATGTTCCTCCAAATGACGTTTGGGGTCCTGAAAGAAAAATATAAGGAAAGAGAAAGAAAAAAGAACCATATTACTGGTAGACAAATTACTTAGATTTTTTTCAGTAGCTAATGAAATTCAGTCAAGAAAGCCAAACTAAATTGATATATATTTTACAATTTAATATTCCTAATATATTATTACCCAGCGGTTCTCAACCTGTGGGTCGCGACCCCTTTCGGGGTAGAACGACCCTTTCACAGGGGTCGCCTAAGACCATTGGAAAACACATATATAATTATATATTGCTTTTGTGATTAATCACTATTTGAAATGTCTGAGTTAAAAAAAAAAAGCTTAAAATTGCATTGTAGTAGCCCTGCCCAACATGGCTCCATCGTCCCATGCACCAAAGGATTGCCAGATCAATTCCCTGTCAAGACACACGCCCGGGTTGTGGGATCGATCCCTGATAGGGGCCATGCCGAAGGCAGCCAATCAATGTTTCACTCTCATATCAATGCTCCTCTCTCTCTCCCTTTCTCTCTAAAAATCAATAAAAATATATATTTTTAAAAACAGCGTAAAAATTGCATTTTAGTAAAGGAAGATAAATTAAAATCTTAATTTATATTTATGTTTAATGCTGAGCTGAATGAAGTATTTCAGCTAAGTATGAAAGCTTTGAAATAAAGAATATTGCACACAATAAAAATATTCCAATTAAAGCATTATTTTCTTATGAGTATTGCTAAAATACCCACGACTCCTAACTTTAAACAAATGTTCACTACTGGAATTATTTCTTGGTTGTTGTCTTCTAAACTACAATTTCAATGTATTTGATTTTTTTAGACAATCCAGAGATACAACATGCTACAAGTAATTTCAAGTAACTAGGCTACAATATTAAATTTTCTTTACTTCAGAAATAAGACCTAGAGCGTTTTAGGTGAAAGAGACTAAAAAAAGACTGGCAGGAGAAGATGATTATTGGTCTAATTCCAATACAGACAGTTTTGCTTTTGCTGTGCAATAGGCCAAACCAGTGAAGTACTCTGTTTTAAAAAATGAGTCTGATGATTATTACACTTTGCCAATTATACATTTAATTTAGTCCTTTTATTTATTGCTATTATATAAAACCTAC